CATAAAGGAGAATATTTTGAAAAACAATAAAGTCATTTTCAATGACAAATTACTGTTTTTTTATTATTAGGCTCAAAATATAAATAGTGCCCCTCGTAATATACGTGTCTTGATTATAATTAGCTTTGCATAAATTTAATAAAATATTTTAATAAAACTAATTTAATTCATATATTATATCAGTTAAAAATAAAATATTATTACAAAGTTAAAATCTCTCTTTCAACATTATAAAAATTATAAATATATATCTTTTGTATACTTTTTGCTAATGCATTGATTTTGTAAAAATTGAGCAACTGCGCTGAATATGACACACGAAACATTACAAATTAAAAAAATGTTTAAAAGTATTATTATTTAAATAAAAAGTAAAAATTGTATATTCAAAGAAACAAAGGCATTTAATGGTTATTATGTTTTTGATATCCATGAAATGCTACGAGCTCGCGATTTGAAAATTCATCGAGTTGAAAACTGATAATTAGTTTGATCGTAAAAAAGTCACAGATCGGGCAACGTAGCGAGTCGCGCGAATCTTGATTCTAATAATTCATTGTGTGTGATGTCGTCTGATGATGAATCTCCAGGGACAGGCTTCTCTAATTAACCCAATATCCACCAGGTATGGGCATTATAGCTGCTCTGTAGCCACGTGTTAATCCAATTGTCCCATGCGTGCGGTGCGTCACTCGCGAATCCTCGTGATAGATTTGAGATTTCGAATTATGAATTCTCTTCTCATCCGCGCGTCAATCCGCTTCTATTATTACAGTTCTGTGCTTCATATTCTGAATATTTCTCTTGAAAATTACAATAAACTAGCTCGGCTTTCTTTTTCCTTTTCTTTCTCGACATAGTGCAGCTAAATGAGCAATAATAAAAGAACGACTGTGCAAAATGCGTCATTGAGCGTCTCGCCGCGTCCCTCGATGCGAAATGATGCACGTGCATCAACGACCATTGCGTCCATCTCGCTTGGTCTCTCCCAATTGAGGATTAAAAAAGGCAAATAGAACTTAAAAAGAAAGAGAGAAACGCAACTTCGCTAACGTCAACATACGGCATCGCATTGCGTCTTCGCTTTCGTTTTAATTGTGACTATTCAGAGGCATTTCCGTGACCGGCATGGAGAACACACGACGCGACGCGTCGCATCGCGTCGCGCTGAGCCGAGCGGAGCGGAGCGCGCCGGCCGTGTCGCATCGTGTCGGTGGACGCTGCAATAAAAGCCTCGCCCCGTTCCGCGTCTGAAGCGTGCGCGATTAAAAAGGGCAAAATATGAATGCACCACGGGACACATTCCGCCGAGCGCGGCGAACTCTTCTTTTTTTTTTTAGCGACGGCCACCACCGTGCTACGGTCCGAGGTCCATAGCGCCGTGTTTGTTTCTCTTCCCTTATTTTGTTCGAATGCGTTTACATTCGCGCGGTAGCGGGCTTTGGACATGCAACTCGCGCGAAACGCGTACGTCCGGACGCTGCTTATTGTCGACTCGCATGAATTAGCCGAGCACGTGTTGAGGAGATCAGAGACAAAGGAGCGTAAACGTGTTTCGCCTATATGACTACTAATGAGAAAAATCTGAAGCTTTTTATTAAAATTGAAAAGAAAGTGGGAAAAACGTTGAGAATCGAAATGCGGAAGAAATGCATGAGTTTTGAGAAGCTCTAAAGCTCGGTTTCTCATTTTTAAATTGTTAAATTATCAATTCTCATTTTTGTATCATTAAGTTGCTTGTCAATTTAATAAGTAATAGTATCACTACTCTGGTTCTACCAGTTTATAGAATCAAATATGTATATAAATTCACACAGAAATATTTAATCACTTAGATCCGCTTTGAGAATAACACAGGAATTTCTCTTATTTAATTAGATTTGTTCTCATTTTTTAAATTAAAAAAAAAACTTATAATTTAAATTTAACCTCACAACCTAATGATAATGTAAAAATTATATTTTTCTAACTATGATTAATCATTTAACTGGATAATTTTGTAATAGTAACTTTAAAAATTACTTACTACAAAAGCATTAGTTTAGTGATTAACTACAGCTAGAAAAATATATTTTTTACATTATTATCAAGTTAAGTCTAATCACAAGTTAGGGATTTTATGCTCATACTATTTATTATTTATACCATTTATTAAATTATTACTTTAAATCGCAGTTTATCTTTTCAACAACAATGCATGGCATCGCATTAACGAAAATTAATATTATGATACCTTATTGGAGTAAAGTTCGAGACATTCACCTGTCATAGTAGTAGTCCCTGAAACACATAATAAAAACAATTTATATTAGACAAATGGTCGACAATGAACATATTATTATTTAATATTACGTAATTTTTTTTCATTCAGAATAACTTCATATTATAGTAATTGTTTATTTAAAGCAATAAACACCACAGGATGGAATATTTAACTTCGTGATTTTATATCAGCGCACAAGTGACAATTAAATCAATATAATATTGTTTACTAATGATCACGCAATATAAAAGATGAAATGCAAGCGTAAAAAACATTTACAAATTTGCGTCCGAAATATTCGAATGTTTGCGGTGATTGGGCACGAATGGCGAATCGATTGACGATTACCAGAGCGTGTAATTTGAACTACAGGGTTCTCCAAAAGAGAACTAAATAACATTAACTTGCATGATATAAATTTCAATTTCGTAATTCAACGTACCTCATTAAGTATATCTGTTAAATTGTGTGATATATAAAAGTGAATAAGAAAATAATACGGATTTTTTTTCACATTTCATTGAAATGAAATGAGAATTTAAAAGAAGAAATAAGTTTGCTTTGTATAACAATAATTTTTTTAATTGTCCGAAATCCTCTTGTGTATCCTTTTATATATATAACGATACTTTCGATTTTATTTGCAAAACATCATTTCTCGTAGAAAAATTGTTGAAATTCCAGTAAAAATAAAAAATACATATTAGTCTTTTGATAACACTCCTGCAATTTCCCGATCCTATTCTAGAAAATGTACTGTTTTATAAAAAGACTGGTACAATCTTCAACGTTTTTGCAATAATCGATTTTATACACGCCACAGGCGTCATAAATTACATTTCTACGATCGCATGAATATATCCACATGACTTTTCGAGGTTTTCCGACGGAGGTTCCGAAGATTTTCAGACACGATGCCAGCAGAGAGCTGGCAAAACGAATCTCCTGGTAATCGAATCGCGTCGAACTTTAATCGAATTCGTCCTACGAGGAGCGTTTCGGTCAATAAATGCTCCATTAGCTGCAGTTTAAACGTGCGATTTCTCGTGGCAAAAAGGACGAAACGACGAAACTTCCCGCTACGAAACATTTGATAAAATGGTTGCGTTCTAATGGGAGATTGCCAATTACTTCGATCGTATCGTCAGTATAATATGGCGATATATAAATGCGCTACTTTTTTAACGTGTTTCTTTCCAAAAATATCGGAATTCAAAAATATCGATATTAATGAACTTTGAGATTAATTTACCTAGATTCAAACGTCAGATGATAATTTGAGCGGAAAAAAAAGAGAGAGAGAGAGAGAGGAAATAAAATGTACATAATTTAAAACGCGTCGCATTATACGTATTTATGACTTTTTTTCACCGTATTTTGTTATGGTTTCTTATTTTATCCGCAGTGTTACTAATTTTACCTATATCGTTGCTTTTAAACGCCCAAATATATTGCAGAGTAATCCTTTCGTCTGATAACGCAATGTTAAGCGGCGAAAAAGCTTCTAGGGAAAATAAATAAAAGATAAAGACACACTTTAAAGAGATAACGAACGCTATATTGCTGCCTTCATTTTATTTATATTTGTCGGTTTTAATACTGAAAGTTAATTAGTCAATAATAAAAACGCTTAGCTACGTAAACTTTACACTAAAGTAAATTCTATTGTCTAAATAAATATGGAAATGTTTTAATAATACGCCTTTAGTCTTCTCTTATTTATAATGTTTCGTCTGTGTGTGCGAAAAAATCAACTATTAACGACTATTTTTCTTCATCGCTGATTCTTATGCTTTACGATATTCTATATACATAATACGCGTGCTGAATAATTGTACTGATACACGTTTGTACGCAAATGATGTTCTTTTATCTATTTGCACATGAATTATAGAAAGCCCACCTCGCGTATACACTTTTGCTCATCGATCCACTTCTCTATGTAATGCAATTAAAAGTAAAATGGTCGAAAATTGCGTTCAAGAATAATTATAAACTTTTATCGTTTCACTGAAGCCGTGATTGTGAATAGCGATGCATGAACGGCGTTCATCCAAACGTTTTCACAACGCGTCACAGCGCGTCACATCGGAAAAATAGTTGGCGGAATGGCCGAAAATCGATCACGCATGAAAATCGAAAAGCAGAGGCACGTCCGAAACACGCGTGCTGCAGAATAAAAAGGACATCGTCCTAAACGGCCGCATGTATCGAAAAAAAAAATGGCGCCGCAATTAGGATGTCGGGCACCAACCCTTTGTTATTTAAAATGCCTATAGTTTGACATTCTGCTCTTTCTTTTTTATTTATTCAGTTATTCGTTCGTTGTCGATTGACGACTTTTCGTCGATCACGTACCGACATTTGCTCCTGTTCCATTTTTATCAAATCGTTTACTGTTTGACAAATTTAGCAAATATTACATGTGAGCGACAATTGTTCGTATATGTTCAAACGTGCATACAAGATAATAAAAAGTCACGAATAAATCGAAGTAATATAACAAAATATGATTGCAAGCGGAATTAATTTAAAAATATAACTAAATTTCACGATGATAATAGAAGAACTAATGAGAGTCTGAACTATTAGTACGTGATTAATTAATAAATATGGAAAATAATATTCAGGAACAAAATAGCTATGTCATCTTATTTTAATGATGTTTTTTAAACAACACTGTTTCGCTTTTTTCAGATAAAATAATCTGTAAATTTGTTTTCATCTACGGTTTTTTATTTAATTTTAAGAGTATATTACAATATAAATATCGCTTTTTTACGAAATGACTTTAGCATTTATATTTTATTATTTTACTCGAATGATTTATTCCAGTTTTTAACGTTACTTTTCTCTCATCAATTTGTTGATATTAACGTGCCAGTATCTCATTTAAGTAACATATTTCAAAGTTATATTGTTTATTACTGTTATTTAGTTATATTACTATTTTTTAGAAATTAATTTATTAACAGCTCTACAATTACGAATTCTACGCTTGATGGCTGCTATTGTTATTATCATTATTATAGTTATTAATGCGATGTACCTTCGTAACAATTACCAGTGGTGCATGTCCGCAAATTGCGTTTATTACAGAAATTATTTATAAAGTGTGATCCGCGCGCATCACATTGAAAAGGGAAGGTCGAGTAAAGGGAAAAGGAAATGCATGCCGATAAAAGCATGCAGTATTTTTGCGAATAAACGTTAAACCATTAGCACGCCTTTATGGTAGCCATTTGCGAACACTATCTCCTCCCCTCCCCGTTCCCTGTTTTCTCTCTTTCTCGTTCACTAATTTCTCCCGCCAAAATTATCACCGTTATTCACACTATTCGTGCTATTTCGCCAGTTGACAACAGAAAGCGTATTTGCGGCGAACTGAATATTCCTCCACGAGATGATAAACGCAGAAAACGGACGCGTGCTCGCGTTTGTACCTATACATTTTCGTATGTACGTATTTATTTAAATAAATATTTTCCTTTGCGAACGTTGCATGCTGTGTTTGGGGTATTCAAACAGAATTCCCATTTGCAGTATTAATTCTAAATTAGTTCGAAATCTCCGGATTTAATATCCGAAATTAAATCTTCTTTTTAATTCCGCAGAAAGGGATAACATAAAAGTAGCAATCGAAATAACATAAAATAACAGGAGATACTTACTCAATTTTTAAGATAGATTTTTTAAAATATTCTAAATGGTGAATTATAATAGATACCATCTCACACCGAACTTGCTAACCGTACTTCATTGTATATAAATTTTCTGTTTAGTATTCATGAACGTTGAGTTCTTAAGCATCTACAATTAATCACATGAAATTACGCAAATTGTTTACAATTCGTGCATTATAAGAGGAGAAAATGATGGAAAACGTTTTACCTGACTAAAATCGATCGATTCCTCGATTCCCAACAATGCAATTCCCGAGCTGACACCTTTCGATTCTCCATGATACGATTGACTCGTTATCGTAGCGTTATTGGCGAGTGAACAAAAGGGCGTCGATGAAAGGTGCCGCGACGCCGAGCAGGCCGCGAAGAACAATGGCGGAAGTCGAAGAGAAAACCAGAGAGAAAAAAGGTTGGGAAAACTCAATAGCGACAGACGAGATCAAGATCGCGCGTTGGCGTCAATTTTCTTTATTTCGGACAGAACAAACTCTTGATTAAATTATAAAATTACCACATGTGAAACAGTTGTACAAATTCTTTGCATATTAATTTTTATAATTCATATGCCCAGTGATAGTCATTTTATATTTAATCCTTGAATGTCACACTATGGGAACAACACATTTGGGCATACCCAACCCAATTTGATTATTTATAATTTTCATAACAATGAACATATTGTAAACAATTTTTTTCAATCAAAACGTCAGACATTAAGAGACACCGAGCAAATGTATAATTTTTATTAATAAAATAATTAAGTGAAAGCCTACGCGGTATGAGTTAGATTTTAATTAATGCTTAAATATATGTGAATTTTATGTCACATCCAATTCTGCAAACAGTGCAAATTATGCGCGGAAGTATGAGTATTTTCAGTCTTGAAATGCAATCCTAAACAGAATTAGAGTTGTAATATCGCAAATAAATTATTTACTTTTTAGTTTTTAAGATGCTTATTAACATCAAATTATTAATATCTTTTCAAAATTCTTGTTAACATTGATATTATTAAATTGTTTGTCAATTTAATTTGTGATATTATTGCTCTAATTCTGTTTAGGATTACGTTTCAAGACTGCAAATATTTCGACGCACAGTTTGTATAACTGGATATGTATATAAAATTCACACCGATATATTCAAGCACTAAAATGCAGCTCATATTGTGTAGGCGTTTATTACAGTTGCGTATTCACATATTTCACATATTCTCGATATTTACGACACTTTGATTGATAAAAAAGTTATAAGCAATAAAAAAAGCATTAAAAAAGCATTGGATAAAAAAAGGTGTTTAAAGGTTAAGATTTTGAGAATCTAGGTATATGGAC